AAATAGAGCGACTGTAATAAAAAAAAAAGGTTCCCAGCTTTCAAAATAGCAGTGACGGCTTAACCCACCAGAATATCGGGTGAATAATAAATGGTTTATGCAAATGTGTGGTTAAAATCAATTACTTTTATTTGTTTCTTTAATTTTATTTACCTTAGTTTATTTAATTTATTTTGTAATCTATTTTGGCTTCGAGAGTATTTCGTTTATATCTCATCAATCTGATGAAAAAAAGAAGAATCAAATAAAAACTTTTTTTTTTCATTTTAACCTTGTATACGTGGTCTGTGGTGCATCAACTACATTTTGTTTAAAGACAATCAATCCTAGTTCGCGTTTTCCCATTTGTAAATGTTATTTAATAATTTATATTTCTATTTCATTTCATTTCATTTCATTTCATTTCATTTCATTTTAATTTATTATGTACTAGTATTTGCTGATCAGTAGTTTTGGTGGTTATTGTTATACTGGACAGCCTTGTTCGTTTCAGACCATCATCATAATGATTACACGTCAAAGTCACGTGTCCAGTGAACATGTCGGTTTTGTTTGTTGCCGGATATGTCACAGGAAGTGAAATCAAAAAGACATATTCGTTTTTATTAGGTAATAAAGGATAAGATATTGAGAATAAGAGTGTTTTATTAACCCGAATTAACCACTATATAGGGCTGGTTTCACTTCATTTTGTCACCGAGTCAGATATTCTATCTATTTTATTGCTAGTTATAAAATATTACCGTTTTAATACCGTGATTTCGAGTAGAAATTAGCACTATTAGCAAGAATTAATGAGTAGACAACGGAACACATTGGCAATTGAATATCAGGCAGTTACCTGAACGAGCGATATGACCCCGGTTTTCATGAAGAATGTGTTGCATCATCACTCACAGCGCTGCCCCCTCTCATTTGAGCATGGCGTGCTAAAAATAAATACAAATTAAATTTACTGTTCACGTGGATTTCTAAACGAGCGCTTTTCGACGCCGAGCGTTCCGAATGTCGCGTAGTCGCGAAAATCGAAACAAATGTATTTTTTTAAAACATTTACCATTGCACAAATACAAAATATTGTCGCTTTTTGCCCCAGAACTTGCAAGGGGATGCACGCTTCATTTGTGCGCAGTGTATCTTTTGCGACCTGCCTGTGATTTTCGCGAAGATTTTTTTTTTATTAATTCATAACAACCCACTGAAGGAGGTTAAAGGTTACAACAACAACAAAAATTACAGAAAAAAAAAATAATCAAATTACAATGGCTAATAGTTTAAAGACAACCAAAAACAGACTAAATTGAAGTTAGTAACGGAAATATATAATAAAGTAAAATGAAACACCAACAAAAAACTATAAACTGAATATAAAAACAAAAACCGAATGAATACATGTAGTACCTCTGACGTGACCTACGTGTTTCATCATCAGATTAATAGTCGGAGTTTCAATATATGAGGGAGGGGTATTTTAAAAACTGAAAAGTCAGCGTTTCCTGAAAAGGGTGCTCAATATTCAACTTATTAACAATTGGAAAGCGGTATTTTTTTTATTTCGCGGTTCTTGTATGTCGTACCTATGCAAATCAAGTACATGTGTGTGTTGGGGTGGGGTGTCATATCCACTCGAATCGGCGATATGTAAATGTTTTATTTTGTTTTGTGGAAAAAACTTAATACCCAGGGAGGTGGTACAAAGTCCCGGTACTAAGTACACAAAAAGGTGCGAATTGTATTGTTTTCTGTCACAATTTTTTTTTAGCTTATTTTTTTTCTTCATATGTTGGACTAGAGCGAAGGAAATCCGGGCATGCTTTCTCTGGAATTCGATACGAGGACTGACTGTTTTCCAATGACGGCCAAAATGCGTTTGTTGGTCTTTTTTTGGAAATGATACCATGTGTGGTGTTACGCCCACTTTTATTTTGGTGAAAATTAATGTTCGGTCATCTGGACAAAACAAATCTACAGTATTGTGAAAAAAAAGTGCAATTGACAAATTTCCTCTAAGTCCACTGGCACCCCAGCATTCAATTGGGTCACCCCTTAAAGAGAAATCGGGTTTAAGTATTCACTGGTGGTGGTCACACGACGTGTTCAATTACATTACGTGGAAACCGACTCCCTGAAAGATGTCGCGTTATTTATAGTAACACTCAGTGATGTCACAAGATTTAAACGGGCGGTGGCCACCATTCGTGTCCAGACTCAACTGCCCGTTGGTTGAATCGATCGCCTATGGCCTTATAAGGACATCGGAGCCGGAACCAAGCGACATCCTGTATTTGAGCGCGTCCGTGCATTGACATGGGCTGGGCTGTAAAAAAAAACATTTGCATCACAGTCATGTATTGTTGGACTACTACACAAATGTGACGCACTAAAATGAACTCTGACCAAGTGAGAGACGTTGTCTGATCGGCAAACAATGCGCCGTTATATTGTAAACAGATATGTTAGTAATCTGCCCTCACTCTGGAGTCGGCGAGGCTTTTGTTTCCTCTATTGATACACGACGCGCGTAAATTTGTATATCAATCAAAAGCATGAACGCGATAGTCAACCAATGAGAAGCGCCTATTTGTGCTATGACGTCACTGCAGACGTACGTCGACTATTTATAGGGTGTTTCCCACACTACAAACACTACAACTTCCGGTTTTCCAGCTAAACGAGAACTGTACATTGAAATTGACGTACAAGTTAACGACGTCGCCCGAAACTGTGTGGGAAGAGAATCAAAGTTATTGACGATATTTTCATTTGTACAACCACAATCTCGAGGGTGAGTATCTCTTCTAATCTACCTGCTCGGAAAAAAAATCAACGTGGTCTAAACAGTGAGTTTATACGTTGCCAGTCTGCTCCGTCGGCGGATGAGTTGACACTATAGGATAAAGTGACGAATCACCGGTACACTCGCGACTATGTATCGGTTTATAGTATAGTATCGCCGATTACAACAGAACAACTGGCGTCGACACTTAATTGTATTTGTTTCATGGTGTCTTTTATTAGATCGTCGTTGCGTCTTGTAGGGTAATATTTTTTCGTCTTCGATGCAACAGACGCAGATGACGGTACATCTTCCGGTGTGGCCTGGGTATCCCGATCATACGTGGGCGATTTAGTTGTGTGTCTGTGAAAACAACATTTAGCTATATTTAATTTGGCCTCGTCAATTTTATAGCGTTAGTTTCCATTGGCACTACCCGAACATAGGTCAACGTTCGCTGATAATTCGCCTCGTATCGCCGCTTCCTGTTGCCGTTTGATCATTGTCTCCCAACACTTAAACCGGATTTCCTGGCCCTTGTTGTGCGCACGATTGAAAACGCCATTACATTTCTCTCCGGCTAGAAAACGGTATGTTTCAGGTGTTTTACTGTATGTGATCAGAGTGCCAGTGGCAGAGTTTAATATCCTTCGCTTTAATTTTAATTAACAAGTCGGAATTCACACATACTCATGAAACACTCTGTAACATCGTAAGCGCCCCAGTCGCATGTGAACGCGTCATCGATATTTACAATCTACACCTACGTTCATGATTCATCGTTAATTTGATGTAAGTGTCGCGAATTGGTAACGAATGCGGTGTACAATTTGAATTGGCAAACGTGTCACACCATGATCTATTGCAAACGATTTACACCCTCCTTCGGCTAGTCAAACCATCGACGGGATTTAATCATCCAAAACTAAAACGCCGCCCGGAAACTACTTGGTGAATTACGCGTGCCGTTACGAAATACGTGTCTCACCTTGCCTGAGCGTTATCACGGCTTAATCTAATAGCCATAAAATCACCCCATCATATTGAAAACTATTGGCACATGTGCACAATACTTCGGTAATCACGTTAAAACACATTTCGCTCTTTGTTACAGCGTTGCACTTTACTTTCGATGATTACATTTAGATCTTGTATAATGGGTCTTGCAAACAATACACACAAGACAAATTACCACTTTAATGGTATCACATCTCCCCTAGCATAAAAAAAGTGAGGCGGTATTACACCCCTCCCCTCTTGTGTATATTCTAATATCATTTAATATGTCTGATTACAGTCCATTTCCCCTTATAATTATAGACATGTTTGGTAGTTTCATTCCCACACTTTATTTGGCGATCATCATCATCATCAAGCAGCAGCTTTATTATGTTATTAGGCAATATGATTCATTCATCAAACCAGTCATGTACATTATGTTTTGGCAAAATTGATCAGCTTAATTCACAGCCCACTTCTTGACCATCCTCATCTCTTTCATGGTCTACCCCTTAAGTTATTTAGATAGAGGATTCAGCTAAATGTGTGCTTTATCTCAGCATCATTGAAAAGTCAAATTTAATTTGCAGAAGCGTATAACTTTATTCACTTCCCTTTTTGACCAAGCTTTGAATTGTAAGTTTCTGAAGAAGTAGTTTGTGATTATTATCTCGAAACCAAAATTAAGTCAACAATGCAATGGATTTTTATTCTGTTCTTCCATTTTTAAAAAAAAACTCTCTGCAGTAAGGAATATGTTAATCCATTATTGAGAATTAATCATGTAAATTCACATTTGTTGCATTTCCATGCAGATCTATTTTGAAAACTGAGGATATTATAGAGCAACATCCATTGCCATAGCAACAAGTAAGATGCAGGTGGAACAACTTCAAGTGGATGACACAAGGCATGGACTAAAGAGAACGCTAGCTGAGATGGGTGAGTTCTCAGTTCACAAATATGGAACTCTCAAATAATGAATATGATACATAATCTGATGTTTGAATTTTAAATTATATGAAGTCTGGATTTTTGTTCATCAATGAACACCCACCACAAGTACTTATCTAAGTTTTGATGCTAAATATAGTAATGATAATGAGATAAGGAACTTGAAACATCATCATAAGACTTAAATGAACAGTTTCTCACTTCCTGTATCAACTGGTCTACTCCAATGTGTCTAATAAAATTGTAGGGTTTTATTTGCGTTGGTGTTATTGGTTCATAGTTCCTATTTTTTAGAGACTTCCCGTCTCATGTTGGCATGTATGCCTTACAAAGGAAGTAGTCATGTGATCACTTCTGCTACCATGTCTGTTTCACTCAATTGACTCATAGTGTGCTGCATTTTTTGACAAAACATTGATTTACTATTGTCAGTGAATCTACAAGTTCAAAGATGTTTACTATTTTGTTTATAAACTTTCAGACACGCCCCTTTAAATTCAAGGTCTCTATGTGGTGTGGAGAGTCACAAAACACAATGGAGGGGGGGGGGGCAATCAAACCAGTTTATCACATACTAAATAAATAAAGGCAAATTTTATTTTGTAGACTTTACTCCCAGTTTGGGTGATTTATGTGTTAAAAACTAAACTCTATTGTTAATCAGCACAGTGCATGCCAAGACAGGATAACATTCATGTTATACCTGAGTAGTCAATGTAGCCCATTTAAAATTTCATAAATCTCCTCTTCCTGTTGTGAATTGCATCACTATAGTAACTGACAACTGCTTATGATACTTATTTAATGGAACCAATATTAAAGTGGACGTGAGTTTAGTTATCAGTTCGAGCCATTGACCTCGTGCTCCACCATGTTTTTAAAAGTCTTGTTGGGGCATGTTTTGTTGGCAAGCAATCTTCCGCTTGGTAATACATTGAAAGACCTGCTGAGTAGTGAGTATGTACTGGGACGTAGCCATGTTGTACCAAAGTTCAGGGCTGCACAATAAATCACTCCAATTGTGTTTTACTGACAAGGATTTTAGAAAACAATTGGAGGAAGTTTGGTTTTCTATGGCTGAAGGCACTAGCCAAAGAGGCAGTGTTGTTTCATTGTTTGTTTGTTGTTTATTCATGACTCAGCATGCAGTAATTCAGGGGGTGGTGTATTTTGGCAAGCTGACAACCACTCCAGCAATAATTTTTGTGTGATAAGAAAAAATCCCTTGTCTCTACTTTTATCTACTTTTCATTTGTGGAATTTAGAATCATGTCAGAGAAAAATTCATTTTCATTTTGTGGGCAACTAATGTGAAGCTTCTATCACCAAGTTTTTTTGTTTACGACCACATTAATTTTATTTTATATCATAATATATCCCGCTACAGATATGAATATATTTCTTATGATATAGATTTAAAATTATGAGTGATCTTTCAAAATTTGCGAAAGTTTAAGAATTCATTCTGAATAGAGTATTTACAGTACATCCAGGGGGCATTGAACCATTCTTTTGTTTCCACTTCCTGTGTGCCTGGATTGTTCAAGAAAAAATACCAAGTATATTGATAGAATTCTACCAAGGGTGAAAACAGAAAAAATAAAATAAAACTACAAATTACATCAAGTATTGAAAGAAAATAAATTGAGAGTCACACTCATGTTTGTTTCCATGGTAACAACACTATTTGAAAAGAATTCACTTTGGTGGCCATTTTGAATTAAAGAAGGGAAAATTTCAAAATTAAAAAATTAAATATAGGCACACCCTTTCCCCTCAAACTTTCTGTATGCAAGCTGTGGAGACTTGTCCCAACATCAAAAGTATTCACGAAAGTGTTTACATCTAACGGCTGAGTGAGTTAAGCACATGATGTTGAATTCCTCATTAGCATATAGCTGAATGTGCAATATGGACTGAAATACAGAAGCAATTCACTTATATTATAATAACTGTTTACTTAGTTACAACAACTAAGACATGGCTCTGACAAATAACTTAACATTTGTTTAATTTCCGTACTGGAAAGTCCACTTCCTGTTTAAATGTTTATTAATATTAATATATCTGTGATATAAATAAAAAAATAAATAATAAGTTCATAAAAATGTTTGAATAAACATAAAAGTATTATGTAAACATCAACTCATCAACAATATTTGTATAAATTTGAATATTCCAACTATTGTTTATACAGTTGTTATAAATTATAAACTACATGTGTTTAGAAGAAAATACAGACCTGGATTTGCATCAAAACTTTATACCCCACAGGAAAATTATTTAGGTTTGTAAATCTATTGCTATAGATACAGTATAAAAGTATCAAATGTAATAGATATGAAATTTCATATTGTACACCATATGGCATGTGAGCGTACAATTTTATGACGAGTGATTATCATACTGAATAAATATACCGAAATGTGTTTGTACGTGTTCTCTTAGTGGTTAATATAATGAGCAAGTCTCATTACCCAATGTACGTCAAATGGAAAATTAAGTAGCGATACTCAAACATCTGTATTTGTTGATTAATTGTGGAAACTCAAATTCCAGTTAATTTCGAAAATATGATATATGTTTTATGATGACGTGTTGGTATTTTTTTTATACATGTATAGATTTGTGCGGATTTGTTTTATGTGTCACAGTTTCATCAAATTTCAATATTTTTGGAGGCAGATACTGGAAGGCATTATTTACTATTACTGATTTGATAGCATTGATCACATAGGGGGATCTGTGCCATTTGACATAAGGTTGTTTCAGTTGCAGTAAGATCACCAGGATGCCTTTTGATGGCAAGCGGCGTTTCACTTTACACAGCTTAATAACGGGGTGAAAAAGCGCTTGATTGCAAAGAGTTTCACAATATGGTGTTATTATTTTGTCAAATATGGCGTAATGTATTTTTAATAATCTGGCAACATATTGGATAAGTTTTATCATTCAATATTTCCATCTATTTTATATTTGTAATTATTTATTTCTTGCTTTTGAGTAAAAAAAACAGTGTGCAAGATTTACCCCTATTTTTTCTATGTACATCTGTTGAAACCATGGTAACTTCTAAAATGTTGAAAAAAACATGTGTAGCATCTCATGCTGATTGAAAAAAAATACACAAAATTAAATGTGAATTTCCAGGTGGTTTCCCTAGTAACACATAATATGGCCTGGAAATAATATGTAAACCGGCCGGATATATAAATAGATCCCTCATGGACCGATTGAGAAGCCAATGCTGGAGTCAATTTAAATCGATTGAGCATTATTATCACCAGGGGTAGTAGAAAACGTTACCGACCGTTGAACTTAAAATTAGCATCAGATGATACTTGCGTTTTGTTTGAGCTTTGCAAATATTTGTCAAGTAACAAGTATGATTTGACAGGTAGCGGAAGCATAAGATACCGCTCACAGGAGTACAAATATAACTTCTGAGTGGATACATCTGTCATATGGGTGTAAAACACAGCAGCTGCACAATGTACTATTCCCTCTTATTAGGATCTTCCGTTACCATGGTGTTAAAGTGGAGCGGAAATGGTGTTCTGTTTTGTCCTCAATATCTGCTACATTCGTTTAAATGACATCAATGTACGGCAAAATGTGAGAAAGTAGAAGCTTATGTTTAAAAAACTTTTATTACTGAGAAGGGTATTTTAGTGTTATTGCTGACTCGTTGAGCTTGATGTCTTTAAATTTTATTTCCAGAATCTAAAGATGAAATGTCTTCAGCAGAGTCACAGTTGAAGAAACGATGTCTGATGCCGTTTGTCAAACCAAAGGGTAAGTTTTAATTGTTGTATTGAAATCATTATTTTTGCTTTTGTATTTTGAATACTCTCAATAGTGGCTTATTTTTTGAGTAGTTTCCATGCCAACCATACAAATTTTAACTATTCAACAACTTGGAAAACAAGTATGAAACAATAAAAATAACTGGCAACCATCATCATTCAAAGAAAAAAAACAAAGTTCCCTGTCAACGAAAAACAAAACACTGCCATGTTATCAGGATTCATCTTAATTGAACTTGGAATATTTTGGAAATTAAAAAACTTCTATGTGTGAAACTGTCACCTGTTGGGGTTCTTTGTAGAAATATTATATCTCAATCATTTTAGCAAATAGACAATATGTTTGTTCTTCTTTCTTCCCCCTTTGGTTAACAAACAGGATATACTGTCTGAATATCCTGTCTGTATTTGGATAGACCTCTTCCTCTTCGATAAAACGCCTGCCAAGTTATCAATTAAACACCTATTGCTGTAGACTTGAAAATATGTTCACATGAAAAGTGACACATTTTTTGTGTTGGTTTTAATGGTGCATATTTTGGAGGATTTTGGTAAAAATGTTGGTAATAATGAAAGAAAAATGATTTCCACAGTACCAGTAATTTAAAATACAAGCATAAATGTCAACTTTGAATATACAATGGCCAAAAAAATCTTATTTTTAACTTAAATTTAATGATCTGTACAATACAGTATTTTTTTATTAGCGGTGTAACTGTGTGGTAAAGTTTTAATAAAGCCAAGGCAGGTTTTACATTAGGTTTAGGAACGGCTTTGTATACAGGTGAACTTTGGTATGTTTACTCAGGTTTACCCAGGTAAAGCCACCAGGGGGAGGAGAACAGTTGATTGCACAGCTTCATTGTTTTATATGGAGGGAGTTAACCACAGGAGGTGCCTTATGCTCTTATGCTTTGGGGGAGGGGCACTGACTAGTATGTGAAATTGACAAGTTGTTTTCATTCATTTGCATATCATGTACATTCATATTTGGAGATTTAATTGAGTTATTTATTCACAAACTAGACAATACATTATTGTTATAGTCTAGAAAGCACTTAGCAATGTACGGTAATAATTCACAATTGTCAATAGTCATTTATGAGAAGATTTTATCTCTTAATTTAAGAAATGCAAAGATATATAATTCAACTAATGGATTTTAACATGAATTGATTTGATGGGATGAGTTTTATCAATGTGTCTGTTTTCTAAAAAGTGTTAAATAACTTGATATTTGCATTGTGGGTTCCCTCTGTTTTATGAAAGACTCATTTTATACGACTTCCTTTTTACTTCCATCATTGATTGCATGTTTGTCACATCCTTGATTGTGATGTTGGGGGAAAACAATGTACTCAATTGTAGGGTTCAGTTTACTGTTTACAGACAGTGCAGTGTATAGTGAAAATAACAGGGTAGTTATGATATATATTTAATCTGTTTTGATTTATAATTTAAAATAATAAAAATTCACACCCCACCTCAGCTTCAGTAATTGTGCATATCACACAGCCGCACATTTAACCGCAGTAATTCCCATCGTAATTTGAGATAACACAAATACTTTATTTCATATTGTAAAAATATGTTTTTTTTGTAACAAATTGTGAGGTCTTTCTGGATAGTACTGCACCATAATCTTTCTATTGTGATAGCCTCAGTAGTACAAATCTGCCATTTCCTGTCATAAAATAGGAGTTTTTATAACCACTGCAAGGTATTATATGAGAGGTTTAATGGCTAACGTTTCTAGCACAAAGGATTTAATATGATGGTTATGCATGGTTATTACACAGTGCATCTGGCTCTCCTATTGTCAGCTTGTCGTTGGAGCCTGAAAACAAAATGCTTCTCTTCATCCTCTTTAATATATGTCATGCTTTTCCAAAAAAAATAGACTTTGTACATTGTTCTCTGCAAAAATACAATAAATTATAACATTGCAAAAGATCATTATTAAAAAATCAATTTCCAGACAGTTAAAATTGTGAACATTTTTGTTGTTGGATTGGATGAGAATCTAAAATTGAGAAGTGGTGTAGAAAAATAAAAAAAAATCTCAATTTATTTTGTTGCAATTTATATTAAAGGGCATAATAATTATGATAATGTCATTTATATGTTATCATTTCCTGTGTTAGGATATAAAGTAATGGCAATGTATTTTAATCAGTACTTCCTGTTTGCCTGTTAATGTGGTATTAAAACGCTTTCCTGCAGTGTTCACTCTCACTGCTGACTCATCTCCAGGTCACTAGAAAAAACAATTGGATTAATCCAAACAAAACATGCAGTTGATTTTGAAATTCACAGTTTTGCAAGTTGAACTTGCATGTTTTCAAAATGCATCATTGAATTTGTTTATAAATACTGTTGTAATTGCACTTTTTTTCAACTATATCAAAGTTTAATAATTTTTTTTATTATCATCTCATGTTTAGATTTGGAATTTTATTCACAACACATTTTTTGACAAAAACAGCTACATATAAAAAATCTAATCTTAAAAAATTATACCGTTTTTGAGATAATTGATAAGATTATTAAAATCTACTTAACATAAAAACAATCAAACTCTCCCTAGAATTTACTTTGTAAATTGAACTACAATGCATAAAAAAAGACAGAACACAAAGAAAATGAAAAAAATTGAGATTCTGTAAAACTGTATACTAGTATTTGTTTGTTACACTGAGTCAAATTTCCAGTTGTACTCTACAGGAAAAGGTTAGGAGTCGCCAATTAAATACGAATTCTAGCAAATTTAATTTCCCCTATATCTCTCTAGACATCCTGTTAAAGGAAATTCAATAGTGTAATCTGCTGAAAGCATTGCTTCCAGTTCCGTGTCTCACAGTAATGAGTTTAATGTATATCCTTTGTACATAACAGGGACAGTGATCTTTACACACATCAACATGTAAAAAGTATAGCCCCGCTGACACATACCCCGCTATGCATATATTTTATCCGTTTTACTGGCTCAACGTAATCCTTTAGGAAAAGGGGTAAATTAACTCAGATTTGGGAAGATATAGTGAATACATGCAAGAATATCATTCTCAAATTGTCATTGAAATATTATTGATTAAGTTTTTTTAATTTGTGGTATGATTAAAATGTGTTATAATTTTTAATTAAATAAATGTTTTCCCTTTTATAATGTGAAAATAATTAGATGAAAAATACATTATCATTATTATAATTGCTCAGTCAGATAAAAAGAAAAGGGATACCCACCCACAAAAGTAAAGATTACAAAGTTAAATTACTCAATTTTAAAAATTTTGAACAATTCAATGCACCTACTGAGCATGTTAATTTCATTTAATAATTAACTTTAAATACCTAAAGAAAGAAAGAAAGAATAGAATATAGAAAACTAATACCAATACATGATGTAACCCCCTACAAACACAAATACTAATAATACCTACCCCCATTTCCCACGAGGGGGCCCAGCTACATGTAATTGCACCAGAAAATAATCATTGTTAGATTAAAACTGTATATATATTTTTTTAATATTGATTTACTCGTGAAGCTGGAATTAAATTGTGTGATATATCCGGGATTAGAGTGCAATTAGGCTTTGATTATTGGAGCTTATAAATGCCCACAGCATCATTGATGTATTATGTTCCGCTATCAGTTGGTAACCGCTGCAATCTTGGAAATTTGATGTTCTCCAATTTCGTACAAAGCTTCTCCCATAACACACGGCTTAATTGCAACAAATCGGGTTTGTTTTTTACAGAAAGACTATTCAAAGAATCCAAAAGTGAAAGCATCCCCGAGATGAAAATTCAACTCAAATATAAGCTGAATCCAGAGACAGAAAAAAAAATATTCATTATAATATTTAGAGTGGAAAAAAGTCCATTTAAAAAAAAGCATTACAACTTTTCCATTTGAGGCTTTCCATTCATAAGCAGAGGTCTCGCTCTCCAATTAACTAATGGTACACTTTATGCTAATAAGTATTTGCAATCTTAAAAATAACTGTTTGAAATCTAATCTCGAAATGATTTGAAAACCAGGGCATGTGATTAGTGCTTGTGTTGGCAAGTTTAATTGCGATTTTTTTCATTCTATGTAAGTATATTTCCAATAATGGACTCATATACATTCAATGTAATAGAAATAATACGAATAGATGTGTTCTTAGCGACACAGCAACATGTTACTTAGATATTCATTCATTTAACATTTAAGTTGAAAGATAATATCATACATTTGATATTGTGAAGATGACTTTTATCATTTGTGTGTAGCTGAACGAAAATCACGTATATACCGGTAGTTTAATTTTGACTTCTAACCATATTTTATTTCTCTTTTGGATGGCTGTCATGTCTGTGTAAATGGAACTTCCGAACTGATTTTGAGAGAGTGTTTCCGTAGTGATTCAAGTAGTGATTCTGCTGCATTACTGTAAATTGTAAAATTGTCTCTAACACTTGAGTTAGTATGAACAGTAATTAAGGGGTGGGTAGAGTGGGTTATGGGAGGGGGACTGTTTGACATGGTACATGTATGTACAGTAAGGGGTGGGTAGAGTGGGTTATGGGAGTAAGGGAAAGGGACTGTTTGACATGGTATATGTATGTGCAGTAAGGGTTGGGTAGAGTGGGTTATGGGAGGGCTGCTTTATACATGTACATATGTATAGTGTGCATAGTAAGGGTTGGGTAGAGTGGGTTATTGGGGGGTTGAGATGCTACAGACATGTCAGGGGTTTGTTTGGGTTGTCGCTATGCAATTTCATTTTCAGTGAACCACTTTAGTTAAGAAAAATGTAAAACCAAAAATACTTCATAAAGACAATGAAATGCAACCTATGTGCAATTTTCATAAATTTCCTTGTGATTTAAAAAACATAATCATAAGTTGGTGGTGTAATTATCTTTGTCTCAAGACCTTATGATCAACTAGGGAGTAGGTGCAGTCTGCTTGTTTTTATGATCGATCTCACCTCGCAGGAGGATTTTCCTGTATTAACATCTTCCCCTTTTACCATTTCCCAACTTTTCTCTTCTGTACTGTGTTAATGATCCATGGCAATCCTGGTAGACTCCAATATGGAATACAGAGATCCCAGATACTGATAACTCTCCAAACAATTCCTAATAACTTTAGAATAAATCATTCTCTGTATAATTATTTAGCAATACCAACTCATTCACAGAAAGTACACTTAAATATCAAAAAATCATTGCCCATCGCACATTTATATTCAGTGAAAATATAATAATTACTTAGATTACCGAAATGTACATATCTTTACAGCTGTAAATCACATGTAGCACCATGAAATAATCATGATTTTTAAATAACATTTCCATAAATCCACATCCATTTAAAAAAATCATTGTCTTACATTTTCACAGTTTTATCACGTTGTTATAGAGTTGTGCTTAAAAGAAATAAGCATATAATCATTTGAAAATAAACAATTGAGAATACTGAGATGAGACAATGGAGTCAATTCAGGTATCCTATACTAAGCTGTAGTAATCTCCATCGTGGTGATACAAGGCCTCAGAACTTCCTCTGTAATTTCCAACTCACCATAAGGGAGAGTAGATAGTTCCAGTTGATAGCCACACATACCATATCTCTTAACTCCTCATTCCATGAATAACTACACAAGATGAGAAAGATGCGGTTCAGTGAGCGATTTGATCAAATGGGTTGTCAGGCGCGATGATGCAGAGAGCCAAAATTGATGATAGTTGATTTCCCACTCCTTGTCACTAGTAATATTTCTTCATGTAGTACTTTCAGTAAGAAAAAAATCACAGTTTCTGATTATAGAGTTTAGTGAACCAAATCAAACACTCTTTAAAAAGGAGAACTTCTCAATCCCTGGGATTGCACCATTGCATTATGGGATATTGTAATTTTAGTTGTATCACTGTTTCTTAATTTCAACAATTTATCCGAAAAGTAAATTTATTTCAAGACTAATGTGATATGGATAAACAGAGAACAATACACAAAAGCCTTTGTTTTTTTGACTATTAAAAAATGATCTGTTGCTAAAACTTGTACATGTACATGTATTATTGTGATTATTATTATTTTTGAAAGCTTGGTTCTTTTTTTTAAAAATTCGTGTATCATTTCACATCACAAGAAACAGTGTTGATGATTTTGTAATTGTCTTACTGATTTTGGAAATCCAAACTAAAAAAAATGGTAATTTGCAAATATGTTTTCATCTTCACTTAAGTGCATTAGACAGGCAAGAACCTGAAAATTAGAAATTATTACCAGGAAAGATAAAAGTCACGAGAAGTCACGTCTGCCAAGAGTAGTTGTATGAAACCTTTGACATCACTGCTCTTCAGTAAATGAACTGTCGTTGGAAAATAATGATACGATTTATGCCTAGGTGGCTTCGTGATTATAGATTAAACGGTTTGATGTTCAGCCACCATTCAGGATGATTAAACCTTTCCTTCTCAATTTGCTGGGTATCATTAGGAAGCATGGATGAGTGCAATACAAAGTCATTTTGTGCATCCTATTCAATGCCGGTATTCGCATCCAACCTTGAGCAATATCATCACAGCTCAAGCCATAAATTTTTTAATTTACAATCGGACAGGCTCACAAATTTGACCATAAAATATTGTCAGCTATCAGGTGTGTCTATGGCTTCGGGCAGCCAAATAATGAACTAGTTTGTTAATATGGCCCTTGGTTATTTTTCTAATCGGAAACTGCTTCATAAGCCCAGAGGGATTTTTTTCTCTCTCTTATACAAGATTCTTTTCTCATTTGAAAGACATTGGACAAGATTAGGAAGCTGAGCTGGTTTGGATTCTCGGGGACTATATTGCTCCCTCCAAAATACTTCCTCATCTCAACCCTGCCACTCAATGAACACAAATTAAATTACCTCCCTTGACAGAATTGACTGCATTATAATCAGTTCACTCGTCAGATTAAATTCAAAGAAATCCATATGCAAGGATTAATCCATTTTATGTAAGGGGGGTAATGGTATGTCTTCCGAAAAACAACAATGGGAGGAATCTGAAACCTAGTGATTATGTGACCCAGCAATGCATACAGTAATATTCCCTTGATCAAACTGGGATCTTTGTTTTTGATTTATTGACTATCTCACAATAATAAAACTACTTTGATTCTGATCCCAAAATGAATCCCCCCGGGTTCACTTGACTATCGATAGTTGCATATTCTTTGTATGTCCCCATTGGAGAAACAAAAAGTCAGGTCTCAGTATAGTACTAATTATCTCAAGCTTGTAATGTAGATGCCCAGGAAAGGTAAATTTGATAACCATTCCCATCTCTTCACACTGCTCTTCCATTAATCGTCTTAAAGTTTGTTTGATGAGGGGAATAATCAATTGCGCTAGGCATGAGGCTTTATAAGCTCATCTTGTTCGGCAAACTTCCAGAAGTCTTGGGTCTGTTCTCAGTGATACTCTGTATACCCGATTGTTGCTGTCTTGTAATGTCTTGGCAGCATACTGATATCGCTATCTGCGACTGACTGACTGATTGACTGGGGATATTTTTTTTTTCATGTTCATTATTCAAGTTTGTATTTTTATCTATCTTGACTGGCTGCAGTCTTCTTGGAGTAATTATTCAATTATTGTTATCTCCGGATCTTTTTTTGTGTTTTTTCAGAACTACTTTTAGTGCAGTTTTAATTTCTCATGCCTGTGAATTTATTTTTTTCACATTTATACATCCCCTGTGCGTTGGATGCATGTCTCTGATTTTTAAGTTTGGTATTATAGTTGACAGATTGATTGGAATACAGTTGTGATGATATCTTTAATATTTTTGTTGCATCTGATTGTTGGTTCAAAGTGTACTCCATATCTACTCATGTTTTCCACAGTACTGCTATACTCATCTGCTGGGCCCATCTTATTCAGATATGTATCTAACAAACACTACTTACACAAACTCTCAACTGCCATGTTGTTGCTTAGGAAACTATTCGTCTCATCCGTATTCTGATGAAAGAATTGGTAGGCACAGTTCTTCTATCATTTTTAATCTCTTTGAAATTTCCCCCCCCCCCCAATAAATGGAATTTATAATGTGTTTTTTTTCTTTCTGTAAAGTATGCTAGAATTCAGTTTGAATAAGAGCCAGTGCTAATTTTTCTTATGTTATTATAGTGTCACTATTGTATGCATTTTTTTCTAACACAGCAAAATGTTTTATAGTCACTCCACTTTAAAAACATTGTATTAATTTTTTTTTCTATTTCCCAATCTACAGGTCTAGAATCGAACATAACACTCTGGCAGTTTCTCCTGGAATTATTGATGGATAAAAACAATCAACCGCTCATCACGTGGACCAGTAATGACGGCGAATTCAAACTTGTCAATGCAGAAGAAGTTGCTCGTAGATGGGGACTGCGAAAAAACAAGACAAATATGAACTATGACAAACTAAGCAGAGCGCTTCGATACTACTATGACAAGAACATTATCAAGAAAGTGATGGGACAGAAATTTGTCTACAAGTTTGTTTCGTTCCCAGAAATTGTCAAGACGGAGACAAAAGTGCCATTTCGTGTCAAAATGGAATCCATCGAACCCCAAGTATCAAGACCTCATAGCTATCCCGGGGCTGACAACTCTACGACAACTACAAGCAGTAATAGTGTACTTCCTAGGACTATTAGTAGCTTGGTAAGCCCACAAAATAGACAAACGAGTTACTCAAACCCGGACTTGACAGTGAAATCACAAGCAGGACACGTAAACCACAGCAGACCATTGTTCTCACCAAATGTCAGTAATTTCACTCAACTGACTAGCGATGTGCATCTTGTTAGTAGCACAGGAAAACCAATCAGCACAGTGTGCACGACAATGCCATCACCAATTAGCAGACCCCAGCCTATCCAGCTGAGTATACCAATGCCTGTTAGCAAGCCAAGTATGACACTGCCGGAGTTGCGCACAACCATGGCCAGCCCATCGTACACTGGTTTCCACCCTTCCCATTTCACCTTTCCGGGCACACCTGTAGTGCTTTCAAGCCCCATCATCAGCCAAGGAACACCAACACCGCTGTTTTCTTTCCCATTTTGGAGTACGATGAGTCCCATGGCACTCAGTCCGCAAATGAGTTCTATGAATCATTTTCAGTTTCCAATCATTTCCAATATTAATGGACACATGGCTGCCATGCAAGGCTTCATGCCGCCGGTTTCTGCATTCAACGCAGTCTCACCAGTTCTGTTATCACCGACGTCACATAAACCAATCATTGCTTCTTGAATTGAAACATAGAACAGAAACATAATTTTTATTTTAAATGTGGAATAATCTAAATATTAGAAGTTTTGACGTGAGGAACTATTTTCTAGATTATCTTGACGAATTTATAGGCGACTGACAACACAGTTTACACTACTGAGCTTTGAGAGATTTTTAACATTTTTATCGTATGATCAGATACTGTACAAATGTAAACCTTTTTTTCTTCTGATCTAATCTGTATATACATGGAACATACAGCACTTAAAAGCCTTGAATGCAAGATTGCTCTTTACTTTAAACAATAACCGAACTGTACAAACATATTTGCTGGTCAAAGAAATGACGGGATGCTGCAACAAAACGTTCATGGCGTTTGTAAAGAACGGGTCAGAATACATTAATCTAATAATTGGTAAACAAACAGCCATTACTAATATTACATAAAACCTGTTCTGAATCATGTAAATAGATTTACTCTTTTTAGGTTTTTGGAGTTGATTGATATAAGTGGATTAATGTTTTCTATATTGCGTTTAAAATATTACTACTGATTTCCATGCCATGAAATTGTATCATGATTTTGTTTTAATTTGAAAAAACAGAGACGATGAAAGATGTTATCTTAAAACAAAAAACCTGTTAAGTATATTTTAATATAGAATATTTTGAAATTCATGCCATTTATTTTACAAAATTTACAGAAATTACCACATTTGTGAAAAATTATATTTTTTGTCAGGCAAATGTTTTCATTTTTATTCAGTTTCATCATTTGGGATATTTCATGTAGTTTTAACAGAAATGACAAAAGTTTGGAGTCATCGATGTTCCAAAAACTGGCCATGATATCACAAAAGATGTAGAATATAATGCTGTTACCCCACCAACTGTTGTTTTTTCTTGCAAGCATAGTAAATTTTAACTTTATTTGCAAATTAATCTTGCATTCTCATTGCCTTCTTACAGTTTTATTGAGCTATCTTAAAAAATGTTACATCTGTTTTTTTTATTTTCTGAGCATATTCCTTGACTTTTGGTGTGCTTTTAGTATACCAGGAACAAAATATATTCTGTATACAGTAGCAACAATCAAAACATGTTTTGAGTTTATAACTCAACCTAACCAGACATTTTAAAATTTGCAAATGTTAACTGCACTTTTAGAAAAAAAAGGATATTTGAACAACGTGTTGTATAACCAAATACAAAATACTAAAACTGACCAATCTAGTGATACCCTCTTTTCAATCTATGTTTAAATGGATGAGACGGGATTTCTCACTGGCAAAATGTGCCACCATTAAATGACTGTGCCAAACATTTTCACAACATATTTATAGGATAGGAAAAAACATCAATCTATATTATGTTTACAGCGTTTGATTCATATTCAATATAATTGATGTGACTCAAAGTTACAGATAGAATAATATGTTTTAGTGAACCCTTTCAATGGTAATCACAAAAAATTCCAAATTTTATTAATCAAGCATATTTGGTTCAAGAGTAAAAACATAAATTTGACAAGAAATGGCAAACAATTTACACTAACAATTTTGTTGAGATAATGACAATTTGATTCTCCCAAACCAATGTCTAACTAGACTATTAAAATATTTTCTTCCTCCTTTCTCAATATTTATTTTGTATTTGCTGATTTGTTCTGAGATTAACAAATCAAAATATACTCAGACTTTTCATTGCTGTACTTATGTTGACATTATGTGCAAAAAAGTTGATCGCTTGATTACAGATTTTTTCTGTTGATGAAATCTACAATAGCATTTTGCTGACTATATTAATATTATTATTTACTATTATGTATTGTCATATATATAAATATATACATGTATATCATGTTTCTTTTGTAATAAAAGTCATGTTTGAAACTACATACGTTTGTGTGATTAACAGTGATTATGTAACACCTGGCGAGGGCGCTCTTTTTAATCTACCAGACAGACCGTGACGACAACCTAACCTCAACGAAAGACAGAAAGAAGTTCGCCCTAATCTCATTTTTAGCCATTGAATTTCATTGCAAGTGTCTGGTACCACAAATTATCCCTCTATAGCCTTATTGTTAGCCAATAAGACTTGTTTGCGTTTCTCAAACGCGATGTGAGATGGCCCACTTTCATATATACTGTGTGGGTGTGTTTATTGATAGCCATGATGTGACGTGCATATGCGGACCTATTGATTAGACACTACAGAACTGGTTGTTTTTTCCGAGAGTCCTGAAAATAGAAAGGCTGAAAATGTGTTTTTTTGTCAAATATCTATGACCTTTGACCATACATTATTTTCATGGTGTATCGTATTATTTTCCTAAACGGATAAAGAAAGGCAGGTGACTAAAATAAATATCCACGCATCTATTTTTATGTATCTTCAAACTTTAATGGGAATCAACATCACAATTAAACAGCGTGATAAACACTGGAGTGGGTGTTAATGAGTGTGAATTCCAGCCATAAGGTTCATATAGCACGTGATTTATAAGGAAGTATTTTATATACCGCCCTCATGTTGTTCTGTTAAGAATGTCGTTGGTGGCGCATCATTCCAACGGTTGATAGTTCCGCATTGTCGAATAGGAATAGGTCGTTATTCAGAGAATATTTCACATGGCATTGAGATTCTGCAGCACGTCAACGAGGGTTGTACTGATCTGTTCCTAGATCTCTATTATATAAGAAATGTGATTTTTATGATAATCAACGTAACGGCTGACGTAAAGTCGGCAAATATTCTTATAATAGTTTTCTATTTATCACAAGTTATTTACACAATTCGTTAAATAAATAATACAAGTCACTGGTTTGGCAAATTATTTAATTTTACGGTTGATCGCCGCCAGCGCCGATACGCTTGTACATACATATAATTCCATGCTCATCCCAATTACGGCTTTGTTCGATGTTTACTAAGCTAAATATTTGTTTTGGATTTCGAACTTATTTTGCTTTTATTATTCACGGAAAACACCTATGCGTCCACGTTTTTAATTTCTGAGAAAATGGTGTAGTGTCCTAACATACAGCATAGAATAATACATAAATAAGTCTAATATAAGAAATTAATCACTCAACTTTGCCTTCACCTCCACAAAAAATAATAATGGAATTAAAACAGTATCATTTCGTATGGAATAGTAAGGAGGACAAGCTCAGTAGAAAATTCTGGTAAATAATTTATACTCCGGTGGATGCCACACAAAACGAGCATAATTAAAAGTCAGAGGATGTCCTGGATTTAAAGGTCTCTCTCAACACAAAGGTTTAGTCCTAGGAAACAAATGTTTAACATAATGTTATCTTTCTTTGGAGGAGACTTACAATATGCGATCAGGTTAACAATAAATTGTGGAGGGAAATAACGAACGTATGGAGCAGGGCCAGAAACAACACTAGACAAATTAAGACAGCGAAGGACTATCTGGGTCAAACATTGTGGTATAACTGAACAATTCAAAAAGAACAGAAAACTGTATTTATATCAAAGTGGCACAACGAAGGAATGATTTAGTTAAGTCAGATGGGACATTTATGTCATACGGAACACCATTATAGTTTGAAAAGTGATTTTATTTCATGCCAATCGACTTCAATCATGATTCCAATCCCAAAGAGATGGAAAACGGGAATAGAAAAAGGACAAAATGTTGAACTTGTTAAAAGTCCAAGTTTATCAACTCTGAAAAGCCTTCAATGGAATTGAATGGTATTGCACAAATGTATAGTAAAATCATGCATAAAGGAAAATCAATTCTAGGTGAGACAGATGATGAATGGCATTTAATATTTGCTAAACCATTCAAAATAACCAGAGAAAACAAATTACAAGCTTTTCAAAATAAAATCATTCATAGGTTGTTAGCCACAAACTACATGTATAATAATAGTTTAAATTAAAATGGGAAAAAAACAGTATCGGTTTTGTGTAACATTCTTCGAGTCGGGTATGGAAACAATAGAACATTTATTTTATGAATGTGATTACAATCGAATTTTTGGTCACTTTTTGTTAAATGATAAAACTGACTGTATATATACACCATTTAACGTTAAAAGATATATTATTAGGTAATGATAAACACTCAACACTGATAGGTAATTTGATCTTTATCTCTCTAAAATAAAAAAAATAAAACCAACATTTTGTTCAATGATTGCAATATTCAAATGTAACTATCAGACAGACATCACCATTTCTAACCTTGAATGTGAAAACAACGTGAGACAAAGGTGGGAAAATGTTAGGTTCACTTTACATGTATTTTTGTTTTTGTAATGTATATTGAATTATGTAACAGTTTACGGACTCAATCTAATTTTCTGCAATTTTATTTTTCAGTTCTTCTAATTTTCTGTTTGCATGAGTTTTGCCTTATTTTTTAAATAAATAAATTGGAAAAATAAACAAATAAGTTGTCCAAAAATGTGAAGAGTTTGCAGTTAAGAGTTTATTTAATTTTCAACTTGCAATCCTGAATCGCTCACATTATTATAGTAAAAAAGACAAAATAATACGTCATATATGTTAATACTTACAGTTAGAGGGAAATACCATATTTCTTATTTTCAATAGCAGTCGAACATAAATTCTTTCCGCTTGTTTTTGCCTACAGTCGATTATACATATACTGACATGTTGGATGACGTAGACCCCGGACTCATTCCCAAACATAAGAAAATTCAGTGATATCAGCAAAAACTAAAACCCGCCCATGAACGAAAGATTCACATCCACAGCATCAACCAGTAAGGTATTCTGTTTTCACTTTTATTGTGCCATATTGTGTTTACAGCTAATGAAGTTCATTTTCATAATAGCATATATCTCTCTGTGAATCTTTCAATAAATATGGCCTTAAAAACAAATCTGGCGTTAAGATGTTTTCATTACAAAATATTATGTGTTTGCTGGCTTTTGTTATTGAAATTAATCGTTTAAACGCAGACCCGCAGTGCATGTAACATCCTATTGTTCATAATACTCATTACGACACATGCTTTATTAATCTGACATGTGTCAGTTGTTCATCGTACTCATTACGACACATGCTCTATTAATCTGACATGTGTTAGATGTTCATCGTACTCATTACGACATAAGATTTAACAATCTGACATGTGTCAGTTGTTCGTCACACAATCTGAGCTGTGTATTTTTGATAACTTCCGATGATACTGAGATTATTGACCACAAGAGAGCGAGAACAAATTATATTATTTATTTGTTTTCATTTTAAATGTGTGGATACAAATATTATGTTTTCTTTTAGAAATGGTTACTGGAAATGATCTTTTTATGACATGCCAACTACACAATAAGGTGCACAGAAAACACAATCTTATATGAAACAATCTGTCATTTTCTCATAAGTGCTTAAATGTATAAATCTGAGTTTGCGTTACTGCCATCTCTCCCTTCCGGATTACGATCTACACAGATAAATTCTTTATTCGAAGCATGGTTGTAGTGATCTGACATCAAATAGCCATAATACTCTCTGGTCCACTCAGTTGACGAGCATTCATTACGAGCAGGAACCATTAAGACGTACCACGGGAACGAACTCTGCACAATGCACACACTGCATCATGATTGTAAATAGATGAATAAGGGCTGGACTCCGCACCATCATCAAAGCAGGTGACCCTCTCTTACTACTTGATACGTCATTTTGCTTTCACTGCGAGATCCCGTGACAAATAAAGGTCATAGCCATAGAAAGTGGAGATAGGACATCTATTTAAATATATCATATCTTCAACTAAAGATTTCACACCTGTAATTAAAGTTACGATATGTCTTTTTTGGCATTTATTTCTATCAATTTTCACGAGCTTCAATTATGGAAGGCCTTATACAGGTTTTGACCCAAAACAGCAATGTCACACCATTTGTCAATCAGTTGTTTTATGTGGAACATAATTACAAAATACCTGATTTGGCATGCAGACGAAGAGATAAACATTACAACAGTAACATGTAGCCAGAACAAATCAAACAAAATAGAAGATACACACGTTTACGGAAGAAATTGTCCGTGTCTGAATACGATACATGCAAATTTTAATATCTTTCTTTAAATTTATGTAACAATCTTATCGCCAAAAGTAGTACCTATTCATATTACTTTATGTTGGACACCATTTGTCGCTAGGCGTATCATAACATATATTCATATTAGATGGTACAGACGACACATGTCAATTCATTGCCATCTATATATGGACCACATGGAAGTGATCCACATCGGCCCTCTACAGGATACAACAACGCTCCATCGAGGCTTTCATGACCACCAATTCTCCCTTCGAGATTACTATCTACGCATACAAAATCATGTTTTTGGTAATTATACTGTTGGGACATCAAATAGCCATAATACTCTCTGGTCCACTCAGTTGACGGGCATTCATTACGAGCAGGAACCATTAAGACGGTACCACGAGAACGGACTCTGCACACTGCACACACTGCATCATGATCGTTTGCAGCTGACAAGGTGTCGAAGTTAAAAATCTGATACTCTGCACCATACATCAAAGCACGTGACCTTCCGGTACCACTTCCTAAGTCATCATATATGGGATTCAATGGCAGGCATTGATAGTTAGAGCCACTACCCGTATGAGTGTAATGTGCTCCTCCCATGACACCTAGTGGGTAGAATGAATTTTATGTTAATCGGGGTATACCGATCTACTTATGGGGCAAGGGGGGTAGCTGGTACAGGTCACATGAAATGAAAAAGGAAAGCTCCATTTACAGTAAAAATAGTTTTTTGCACTTACAGATAAAGCAAATTCCTAATTACATTTTTATAATATACTTGATAATTTGTGTTTAAGAATCAAAATTGAAAATTGTGTACGAATTGCATGTAATCATGATTTTGAAAATGCGTTATACGCTTACAAAAAATAAGATCTTTGTACAAATTACGGAAGAATAAAATAGCTGGTTAAATTGAACACCTTGTCTATGTCTACGAATTTAAGTTTTTTATTTATTTAAATTACATTATTACGAAATTAAAAAAAACAAAAACAATTGAATACAGCTTACGAAAATATCCCTTGCCGACCCTCTACTTATATAATAAGATCACACTTTCTTCACAACCTAACTATATATATAGTGGAACATGTAAACGTCATACGCAATGTCGGCACCAGGAACTAGCGAACAATGGTTTCGTATTCAAATCTTGAAGAGTTTGAATATTCCAATCATTTTTCTGTGCAATGAATGTAACCATGATGTCTAGCATCAGAAGTGTGGGTGCGATGTAGTACGACGGCGTATTTTTGTATTTACTCAGGGAATTAAAACATCGCAAATTTAACTATTCACCTGCTAGCCCCATTTACTTTTTTTACATTGACTCTGCCAGATCAAACATATACAATCCATTCTTTGCTGGTTTTCATAAAATTTTTGTCGTTCTCTAGTTAAGTTTTCACTCTCATTCACTGCAAAATACTCGCCACACGCTTTTTCAGGGACCATTAGGAAATCTTGTATGGCACTAGTGGCCGTGAATTGAATATTCCCTCGGTAGAAGTCGGTTAAAAAATGAAACGCCCATTCTACGTGATTTTGCAGTCTTTCGCGCGTTTCATTTTATAACCCTTACAATGGCCATCGCATTGGGTCATTTGTGTTAACCAACATGCAAATGATTTTTGTATTATTACTAGGTGAATAAAATATCTATGTGAAAAACGGTTTGATTACAGTTACTGCTCACTCTTCAACACTAGCTCGTAGTCAGCCGAGACTGCCCTGCTTCGGAAAGTACATATATATTCAATAACAACAACAATCCTAGTGTGCGAACGATTTGTTTTAGCCAATCAGCTACTGCGCACGAACACGCTCCCAAAACGGCGACGGTCGATATATACAGGGATACTGACCCATGTGATACTGACCCTCGGACTGAAACATAATCATACAGGTAAAATACCATTTCACTGTATATAATCGTGGACACATTCTTAAAATAAAATATAATGTCCAAAAGCATTGGACAAAATGTATGATATTTCTCTAGGATATAGACTTGCCTTCATAAACTAGTTCAGCAGTATCTTCACATGTTGATCTTCCCCATCTCACATACACAGATCCAGTCGTTCCATTTACATTGGTTGATGCACGATCACCACTTCCTGGTCCATCATCGTTATCGTTGTCATTGTTGGACTCGGCAGATCCAATGCATGGAAATCCAGCTGCTCGAATGAAAATAATCTTTGAATAGATTGTGGTATCTACATGTATCCTATCCTATGCACAGTGTATTCTATGCATTTGAACAGTTACATAATTTATATGAAAACAGATGGCGCCCAACTGCTGTCGTTGGTGGCGCACTTTCATTGATCTCAGTGTATGGGTGAAAGTGGATTACTGTTGTATGCATCCGTCAATTGATTCTATCTTAGTCAATTATAAATTGATTGGTATCTTGTGTTATTGATTTAGAATTATGCTTTTTATATTTGTTTAGCTGTAGAAAGACATTTCAATGCTTGCTTTCTGTTTACTATGTACAATTCATAGCTGCACTATTTGATAAAAAGAGATAACAGATTAGTGTGAATGACGTAAGTTCATTATTGTTACACTACTTACGCTGTTTAAGGTTACTGTTAAGAGGCTACGGTAAATGATTAGTCCCAGTTCAGACGCAGTCCGAAAACGTATGTGCATCCGTGCGTGCGTCCGGACCTATATTTTAGACATGTACACACACTTCATACGCAATATTATACATATGCACATTGGTTTCACAATATGATTCAAGATGGCGGCCATTTATGTGCTCAAAAGTGATCAAAATTAAGCATTTCTGGCATTCCGGAACCGGATCTCGGCTATTTACACATGGTACATACACTGGCCACTTTGTTTTAATTAATGCTGTTCCAAAGCAATATCTCTCAATATGGACAAGAATTCGTTTAGCGATAAGACACAAGATGACTGAATGTCAATCATTTTAATGATAACAAAATCATCATAGCAGAGCATCAGCTTCTGGATCCATATCTCGGACATGTTTATGTTCAAACTATTTTACTACAAACAAAACTATATATCTTAAATTTTATAACTAACGGGGACTGTACCATACATGGCTTATTTTACTCGTTTAGCCTTACTTGTAGAGATTACTGTACATTAATACATTGTTAGGGAATTGTTGGTGCATTACTGTTAGTACATTATTATTAGAAATTGCAGGTCTAAGATTGTTATACATTGTAAGAAATTACATAATTGTTAACTTGTATTTTTTGATCTACTGATTCACTTTCACTGTAATTATCAGTCATATTGTTAGCTAAAGTTTATTGATACATTTGTGCACGTGCATCAGTAAGGGCGTTTAATATATTTTTATACTATTTTGCATATATCAAAATATGACACTTAATGTTGATGACTGTAACTTAATTTATTGAGTACTCAATGATAACTGTGTCAGTGTGTTTGTTGTTCTCCTCTAAGACTATTACTTGTACTGCATAGGTATATCAATCCCGAATTCCTCGGACCCAGTGGAAATTGTATGGTCAACTAGTTCAGAAACTATATTTCTTTTATGTACGCATTCGTGCTTGGTGAGTCCAGGCTACATACACAGTAGGATATATTAATGAAAACTATCGTGAACGTTTCATGTAGGGTTATATATATATATATATATATAATACAAATTGTAAGACGTTGCTAAAAGTAATAATACATACGGATTCCAGGAATTCCATTGTTTCCAGGTGGGCCTTGTGGACCAGGGGGTCCTCGCAATATTGACACTAGAAGAAGAGGGGGAACAATGATAGAAGTCAGTACAGTTATAAAACAAACAATCACACGAACAAACGACTAACCAATGATGGACCGGTAAATGAATCAAAACAATACAACCACGTGGTCTTGTTACGCTGATCAGGAGAATCTCAACAGCAAGCTAAAAAACAGTTCCATAATGTTGACAGTTCACGCGATAAACATTCCGAATATTTTGTTTATTGGCTCACAAATATAATCACATTTTGAATAAGAAAGCACTTTCTATTGGTTTAAAACACATCTACTTTATCAGTGTCTGAGGTTCGTTTACATTCTTAAAGTTAGAACGACAATAATACTATTCCGACAATAATACTATTCCGACAATAATACTCTTCCGACAATAATACCATTCCGAAGTCAGAAGTGCACTATCCGGGAAAAGCATATTTCCTGATGTGACGTCACACTGTTGTAATAACACTTTTACATTTTGTGGAATGTCTTGGTTATTGCATATGCTCATAACTGAAAAGACAACTTACAGTTCTCAACCAGCCACCTGAGATCAGTTGTGACGTCACGTTTGTTCACGCGATGTTCTGATTTTGTTTCATCTTCTCCACTGAGTTGTGTCTGAAACACAACATAATTCACATTATTTATCATATGTTATTTGATATCGACTCAAATAACGTGTAACAGTAAGAGGCACACATTACACACCTGTCCCCTACGGTCGTGAATGGGGATGTATGATTTATATTCCGTGTATGTCAAAATCGTTTTTGACCGAATGGCTGAATAAAATGACAAATCATAATTTCAGTGCTTCATTGGACCATTTTTTAACATGTATGACCACATTTTTTCCGATTTTGTATGATGGTTGAACATGCAGGTTTACTGACGCATGTTGTGATGGACTTTGATTCTCGCATATCCAGAATAGGAGGTTATTTAGCAATGGGGACAACCTCATGAGCGTTAGCAGATTAACTGATATTTAAATGTTCTTTAAACATTTTTAGCATATCTGATCATTCTGTA